AGTACCAACGGCATCCAGAGCATGATTGCGGACAGGCTGGACTGTGCGTATGTTAATCATTGCTGTGCTATTTCCCATGGAGTTTTTATATTTGTATGACAGTGTATTTTAATTTTTTTTTTTTTTTATGGATGATAATGTAATGTTGCTTCCGCCTGCGCTAACGGTTTATGCTGTCGGGGCTTCAGTGGAGGATGATAAGATGAGTATGAGGTCAGGTCAGTTAGACATCATGACAAATTCACCGGGAATTTGTCATGATGGTTTCCAGGGGGTACCGCGTGGAGGTCAACCTGACATGGTACATTGTTAGCAATGGGGTCTTCAGGCCATATTACTAACAATCCCCTTTCCAATAGGGGATTGGTATTATTTGTATTTTATTTTTGTGTGTGTATTTTGTGTCTGTACGTACTAACGTTAATTATAAGAAATCAGTAATACTAACAAAATGGGCAAGTAAGCCTGAAAATGAATTATTAAACTTCTAAATTTAGTAATGACATATTGTAATTTAAATAATGTAAATTAAATATTGTAATGGGTGAAAACTGTGATTGGTACAGTTTATGCTGTAAACAATATAAATGACGTAGTGGAGTAACTTGAAACAGTCATGCTCGCTATAAAGTTCAAACTTGTGGGTGAAGCTGTAAAGGCCAGCTACGGCCAACAGCATTAGAGTAGTCCGAAAAAAAAAAAAAGGCGTGGTGGACCGGGTCGATGTGCTCCCTCTAATATGGTTGAGTGCAATGATGGCTGGCTGATCCGTCATACTCGTGATCGGGTGCTGCTTGTGGGGACTGGTCTGTTCAGGTTGCGAACACTGATTAGATTTTTTGATTTTTTTGATTTTTTTTTATATAGCATATGCTGGTGGTCTCTCTATTCTCCCAAATTTGAATTTAAATGAAATAGTATTATTGTAAATACGTACAACATTAAAAAAAATACGAGCTGAGTTTCTTGTCAGTTCTTCTCATCTCGAAATCATTCTGAACTGACGGTAGATTTGCAATATCATAAGAGTCTATAATAGACCTACATGAATAAAGATATTTTTTTTTTTTATAATGTGAATCTCAACGAGGTGCGTGGATACATTCGTTGTAAATAATTATAAAACACTAAATTGTAAATTAAATCGTAATTATATATATATATATATTCAATAAAATGTCGATATAATTAGCGGTGTAACAAAATATTGAAGCACATTTGACAATCGTAATCATTAGAACACTGCGTTATATATTTAAATTTGTGAACACTGTGTTGTGAACACTGAATAAATTTTTTGTTCTTTGCGATAGCATATGCTGGTGGTCACTCTATTCTCCCAAATTTGAATTTTAATAACTGTATTTATCATAAACATGTTCCACTATTATTTGAAAAAAAATAAGCTGAGTTTCTTGTCGTTCTTCTCATATATATCCGAACTGACGGTAGATTTGACATAATATCATAAGAGTCTGTAATAGACCTACATGAATAAAGATATTTTGAATTTTGAATTTGAATTTTGAAAATATTATGAAGTAAATAATCGAGAAGGTTTTAATACCTATTTTTGTTGGAGTTTCCAACAATTATTATTATTATTTTATATACATATATTTTATTTATTATTATTAAAAACCATGTTCGAAATTATATACTTTAATCATGTGCTTTTCTTGTCGCTTGATCACTGATTAATAAGTCTTTCAAATAGTTCAATAAACCGACCGAAGATATTTGTTTTCTTGTTTTATATGCCTAGTCCTTGTTAATGTAAATATAATTAAAATAATATTTATTTAACAGAACAACACATAAGTTTCTTGCTCATTCTTCTTGTGATGAGTCTGCATTCCGAATGAGCGGTAGAATAAAAAATATGATAATTCCAAAGTGCTTATATTAAGTTTATTTGAATAAAGATTATTTATATTTCTATTTATATATTCAGTCATTATTGTAAAAATAGAAATAAAAATAATTAGGATTAGGCATGCGGCAATCAACATAGAAACCGCTACGCACTTAGTCTCCGTTCAATCAGATAACATTGTCAGCGCTATGAATTTTAAGTTAGATATTTTCTACAAAAACATTACTATCATTTATAAATTCTTCAATTTTATAATAAGCTTTTTTACAAAGAAAACATTTTATGACACTTTTGAATTTTTTTTCTGACAAATTGACTACAGACTTTTGCAGTTTGTTGTAAAACATTACATAATTTCCATAACACGAATTTCTAACTTTCGTCAAACGGCACTTAGGTAAAACTAGTTTGTTGATGTTACGAAACCTTTTATTAGTGTAATCACCTACTTTTTTAAAACTGTTTTTTTCTTACATATTCATATGTAGATCCAGTTTTTTTCGAATTATCTTACACGACCCTTATTTTATTTTTACGTATATAGATGTTTAATATATACTCCTACACTTATGGTTAAATTTGATATAAAGCTTCACATAAAAACAACTGAGCTTTGTCTACCTACGCGTAATTTTGAGGTTACGTAAATAACATACACCTTGGAGGCAGATAACGACAGCAATGAAATGTGATAATATACGCAGATTATAGGAAACCATGTCTTCTCACACTTAACTAGTCAACGTAAAATCAAATATCATGTATGCCAGGAAAAACATTAACAGTTTTAAAAAAGTAGGTGATTACACTAATAAAAGCTTACGTAATGTCAACAAACTTTATTTTTCTAAAATAAAAGTACAGTAAGTTACTCCTTATTACATCAGCTACCTGCCAATTAAAGTCCCGTTAAAATTTCAGAGATTAGTCGGAACAAACAGACAGACAAAAATAGTAAAAAGTGTAATTTTAGTGTATGTACCGTATTTATATTCATATGCATGTAGTAAAAAATGGCTATTTCAGTATTACAGACAGACACTCCAATTTTATTTATATGTATATGTAGACGTAGACAGTGGCAAGCAGGCATACGGCTCATCTGATGGTAACCGGTTACCGTAGCTTACGGCCGTCTGAAATGATTAATTACACATCATCATCATCATCATCGCAGCCCGGAAGACGTCCACTGCTGGACATTAATTACACATAACACCATCTAATTTAAAATTAATACAAGCTTTTACTACCAGCATTATAGTACAACTGATAGACTAAAATAATTTTATTTTGAATATATAACTTACTAGCTGTCCCGGCAAACGTTGTTTTGCCTTAAAATAAAAAAAATATTTAGGGGTGGACTACCCCTAACATTTAGGGGGATGAAAAATAGATGTTGGCCGATTCTCAATACGCTCACAAAATTTCATGAGAATCGGTCAAGCCTTTTCGGAGGAGTATGGGAACGAAAACTGTGACACGAGAATTGTATATATAAAGATATACAAAAAATACATCTAAACCAAAACACATAAATATAAATGTTTGTATCGTGCAGGAATCGAACCCTAGACTATTAGAAGGTGACGCAAGTACCCACGGTCGCTAAGTTAGATTAGAATTTAATATTCAGACCGTATGTAAGCATTTCATGTAATACATCGTATGGAGTGCAGTGGAAAGCAGAGTCTCTTATCTGTAACTAGATAACTGAAACGAAATTACTAATCAGGGAGAATTACGTTTGCTGCTAGCCTTAACTTATTTATACTAGCTGTTCCCGCGACTTCGTTCGCGTGGAATTTTTCTAAAGTAAAAGAATTTTTCTAAAATTTTGGTAGCATAAGTTACTCCTTATTACATCTATCGGCCATTAAAAGTCCGTCAAAATTGGTCCAGCCATTTCAAAGATTAGCCGGAACAATCAGACAGACTAAGAGACAGACAGAAATTGTAAAAAATGTTATTTTGGTGTATGTACCGCATTTATATTCATATGCATGTAGTAAATAAAGGTTATTTCAATATTACAAACAGACACTACAATTTTATTTATATGTATAGATATAAAATTCTCAAGATGATCGATTTTGATAAAATTTTATTATTCAGGAGGTCTGAGAATCGGCTACTATCTATTTCATATATCATACCCCTAAGTGATAAGGGTTGTTCACTCCTAACATTTATTTTTTGGACAATTTATTATTATTTTATTATGTTTTGCCATTAAAAATAGAGAAAACTCTAAATTTTCACCCTTCTTCAGTGGATGTGGACCATTCTTACTAGACCGACTTCATAACAAAATCTACTATATCGAAATTTATATAACTCAAAGGTGACTGACATAGTGATCTATCAACGCACAGCCCAAACCACTGGACGGATCGAGCTGAAATTTGACATGCAGGTAGATGTTATAACGTAGGCATCCGCTAAGAAAGGATTTTGATTAATTCTACCCCCAAAGGGATAAAATAGGGGATGAAACTTTGTATGAAACTTTGCCAATTTTAAACCGATCGGGCTGAGACTTTGCATGCATAAAGCTACTATGACGTAGGCACCCCCTGATAAAGGATTTCATAAATTCCACCCCTGAGGGGATAAATTAAAGGGAATAAATTAGGCTAGTCTCTTTATAATATTACTAAGTAAAATTATTTCCATGATTACGCACAGATACTATTATCATAAGGAATTCTAATTTTTTTTAAAACAAAATGCAGTAATTGTTAATTACTGTATTTTTTTTTAATCAGGTAATTATTTCAGTTAAACCACTAAAAATAAATAATCATAATCTTAAGCTCATTTCTCATAGTATATAAATGTCATTTTCATTAAGCAATAAACATGTTGGTTCTATGTACCTAACATGTGGCTTTACTCATTGGGCTTTATTAACATCTTAATTATTGCATAGTGTATAATCAATTTCATCTATTACTACCGCTAAGCAGCTTACTTTACAAAAAAGATTTGTTTTGGTATGGAAAATGTGAAAATATTGCAACCGAGAATACGTTACAAATGAGAATACCATATCAACAAAACAGTAAGCTGCTTAGTAGGACAGGTAAGTGCCATACATTAAAGACGAGGCGTGTTGCAGGCGCTCGCCGGGCGAATGTTAGTCGCGCAGTGCAGCGCTCAGAGCCCAGCGCTGGGACTGAGAGGCCCAGCGTGGTCCGAGCGCAGCTCGACCGCGCGCCTGAGAGAGACGCCGCGCACCACGTGTACCGACAGCCGCACCCGCACCACGTCTCAGGTAACAAATTGAGTTGGAAATTGTGTGTTGTGCCATTTGTAATTAGAATGAGAATTGTGTAGCAAAACCTCTCAATTTGTTCGATATCCATTAATCATTAAGTGCCTTCACCATTAGTCATGCTTTGATTTATTTCATAACTAGCTGACCAGAGCAACTTTGTCTGCATCATACTTACTTGTCATTTATAATTATATTTCGCCCGATTTTCATATATTTTCTTAATTATAGCCTATATGCACTCACTCGCACGACAAATAGCCTAAGTTACTCCTTATTACATCAGCTACCTGCCAAAAATGGTTCCGTCAAAATCGCTCCACCCATTTTAGAGATTAGCCGGAACAAACAAACTGACTGACAGACAGACAAAAAATGTAAAAAATATTATTCTTTACTACATGCATATGAATATAAATACGATACGTATTCATATGCATGTAGTAAAAAACGGTTATTTCAATATTACAGACACTCCAATTTTTTTATATGTACAGATGAAGTGACTAAAATTATTTTTAATATTACAAGTATATAGTATTAAAATCCTATAAGATTTTTTTACAAACTTATGGCCCACCACACCACATGTCCGGACATTTTGTTGAGCAGGACTTTTCAAGATATTCAACCAAGACAACCACTCGACCATCAGCTTCTTAAAATTATCATATGATAGTTATGGTATTCAAATAAATATCTTTATTGAATATCGCTATTTTCAAATGATTTCAAATTCAAGAAAAATATCTTTATTTATGTAGGTCTATTACAGACTCTTATGATATGTCAAATCTACCGTCAGTTCGGAATGATTTCGAGATGAGAAGAACTGACAAGAAACTCAGCTCGTATTCTTTTCAAATTAATATTATACATGATTACAATAATACAGATTCATTTTTAAATTCAAACTTGGGAGAATAGGGTGACCACCAGCATATGCTATTGCAAAAGCAAATAGTCTAATCAGTGTTCGCAACCCAACCAGACGATGCTTTCACATTTATACTATTCTGTCATTAAAATAGATTATTGTAGCACACGTCTGGACGTGTTGATTAACTATTTATAGAAACAAAGTAATTTTCAGTGTAATTGTATGGACAGCGAAATGTAGCTACTATTATATTTATTGGAGTCTCTTAACCGCATGCATTCTTGAATCCACTTTGCAGTTTACTCCGCTTTTCAGAGTTTGATCGCCATTTCAATTTTCTAGATGTAGATTTTAAGAAATTTATTCAACTACTGAGAGTACTTTATACAATCTTTTGAATTGAATTATTACTTAAATAGCTTCTGTTTGTTTAACTGTAACTGGGATAAAATAGGGGATGAAAGTTTGTATGAAACTTTGTCAATTTTAAATCGATCGGGCTGAGACTTTGCATGCATAAAGTTACTATGACGTAGGCATCACCTAAGAAAGGATTTTGATAAATTCCACTATTCCTAAGGGGATAAATTAACGCGAGCGAAGCCGCGGGCAAAAGCTAGTCTCTTTATAATATTACTAAGTAAGATTACTTCCATGATTACGCACAGATAATATTATCATAAGGGTTTCAATTTTTTTTAAACTAAATACAATAAATGTTAATTACATTACATTTACATTTGTTTAATTTACCATTACATTTATTCGAGTCTCTTAACCGCATGCATTCCTGAATCCACTTTGCAGTTTACTCCGCTTTTCAGAGTTTGATCGCCATTTCAATTTTCTAGATGTAGATTTTAAGAAATTTATTCAACTACTGAGAGTACTTTATACAATCTTTTGAATTGAATTATTACTTAAATAGCTTCTGTTTGTTTAACTGTAACTGTAGTAAATAGGGGACAGTCCAATTTCAGAATTTCCTCCCGCGTACTTAGGTTGTGGAATGAACTACCTGCTGAGGTTTACTCACGGGACTACAGCATGGGGTTTTTCAAGAAGGGTATATTAAGACGCGCATGTGATGCCCTTGGTGTTACAGGCGTCCATAGGCTACAGTAACCATTTACCATCACATAGCAAAGCCTATCACAAAACGATTACTTGACTGACGAGCGTGCATGGCAATAGTTGTTCATGTACGAGATTTTCATTTAATATTACACATAGACGCCTATATAAATATACATTGTAAATAAAATGGCTTTAAAAAAAAGTAATTCAATTGAATTTCTTGCCAGTTCTTCTCAATTAAATACGGTAGGGATAAAATTATAATGTAAAAAAATTGACGTTCATAAACGGCTAAAATGTCCTATATGAATAAATGATTTTTGAATTTGAATTTGAATTTGATGTTTGTTTGCCACCATAGTACTACAAAAATAGGTGACGATCCACCCTAAACTTTATCCATCCACACATAAAGTGGCACGTGTAACTGTATTTAAGAAAGTGTATAATATGTATGTGGATGGATGGAAAGGGAGAGGACGCGCTAAAGAAAGATGGATGGATTCTGTGAAAGATGATATGAATAAAAGAAGAGTATGTTCAGATATGACGACCGATAGAGAGCAGTGGAAGAGAATTACATACTGCGACGACCCTAAATAATGAGATAAAGGTAAGGCAATGATGACTCGTGTCTGTAATTGTAAGAAAACCCCTCTGAAAGGGCTTAGCTGATTCTTATTAAACATGGTGTGTGATCAATAGGACTGAGATAAGGATGTTATCTATTTTTCATACACTACCCCTAAGCTGATAAGTTTGTCTGTATGTCTGTTTATTCTGGCTAAATTCTGAAATGGCTGGACCGATTTTGACGAGACTTCTTTTGGCGGGTTGCTATGTAACTGAACGTTTTATTGTGAAAATAAACACTTTATTAATTTAATTGCGTGATCAATAAGCTTAACATTACAATTTTCTATACTCCTATCACTAAACACGAAGATAGCCATGAACGAGTAACAGTGTTACCATTACATGTTTTTGAAAATTAACCACATTATTGCCATATCCTCTTATAATTATACTTTTTTAAAAATTAATATCAACAGTAACCCACCCCAAATTATATATTTAAGACAACTTTATTTTAATTTTTTTAAAATAATTAATAATCCTAATTTATTACTAAACTAGCTACTCGCCCTGGCTGCGCACGGATGTACATGTATTATATATATAAACCTTCCTCTTGAATCACTATATCTATTAAAAAAATCCTGTTCAAAGTCTGTTGCGTGTTTTTAAAGATTTTATCATACATAAGGACGGACAGATAGCGACAGTGACTTAGTTTTATACTAGCTACTCGCCCCGGCTTCGCACGGATGTACATGTATTATATATATAAACCTTAAAAGAGAGGCTTCAAAATCCGTTTCGTAGTTTTAAAGATTTACATTTACATACATGAGCATACATAGAGACGGACGGATAGCGACAGCGACTTTGTTATATACTATGTAATGATAACCCTAAATTTTCACCCTTCTACAATCAACCCCTTTTTATTAGCGATATTAAATTGTATGCCAAAACAACGTTTGTATGATCAACTATATATTGTTCTACAATCTGTACAAGGTTTATAAATCTGTCTATTTTAAGCACAATATACTGACGTTTAACATATCTTTCTAACACTAAAATCATAATTTCAAATATTCGAATAGTGTTATTTTCTTTCATAATACCTAACGTTTGCGCGCCAAATACACTAAAAATAAAAAAAAGAATCCATTCGTAGCCGAACCTAATTACATATTAATAAGTATCCAATACATAAAGCCTGATAAAAACCTACAAAGCGACACAACAACGACTGGAACGAGCCTTTGTATTCTATATAACAATATAGTGCATTATTAAAAAAGTCTCTGTTACTCGTGCTAAAAAATAAATGCGTTCCAGATAGACGCGGTGAAATGGGTCGGAATATGTGAAGAGTGTTGCTGACTCGTGCCAATTGTCTTATGTCTCGGCATTTTTGCTTTTATCTTAATGGAAATGCAAGCTCAGTGGATTACGTCTTATCTATACTGTCATATGTTAGACACGCCAGGTGTATGAAGTTATAACTCTACTAGATCAGGCGGAAGAATTGTTAGTAATGTAGACTAATGATCCTATTGGTGGTAATGCACCATGTCAGGTTGACCTCCACGCGGTTACCCTTGGAAACCATCGTGATAAATTGTTGGTGAATTTGTCAGGATGGGCTGACAGATCTGACCTCATGCTCATGTTCATCATCCTCCACTGGTGCCCCGCCAGCGTAAACCGTTAGCGCAGGCGGGTGCTACATTCCATTATCACCCATAAAAAAAAAACTCTACTACATCATAGTAAAATTTTAAACATAGTAGCCTAGGCCTAGTAACCTAGGCTATATCTGTCATAGATTTTTGGAAATAACTACCAATTCAAATTCAAAATATCTCTATTCATATAGGTCTATTACGGACTCTTATGATATGTCAAGTCTACCGTCAGTTCGGAATCATTCAGAATTGACGGTAGATTTGACATATCGATATTGTGATTCCAATAGTAATAATAATAATAATCACAGGACAATTCACACAGCGCCATACTTATACGCCGGTACGCCATACAGTACTAGATAACTGATACAAATACATAGATTTTTTTATTCGTAAATACATACATATTATACATAGAAAACACCCAGATCGATACAAACAATCATACTCATGAATACAAATGTTTGTGCCGTGCGAGGAATCGAACCTGCGACCACCGGACGTAAAGCGGGTTGCTAGACCGCTAGACCATCGTCAATAGTATTTATATATTTAATAGTGATTATATATTAAAAATTTATTATGATAGGTATATTGATCATAGATTTTTGGAAATAAATAGTAGTGCGTATATGTTAAAAAAATATCATGCTCTAGTAGAGTTGCAACTTAGATATAGTATAAAATCCATGGAGCAACAGTTATAAATCTTCACATAGTATAAAATGAAGTCTTCCGCTGTATTTTCGCTTATCTATTAACCTACGCAACAGATTTTA